ACTCACCAACAAAAGAAAAATGTCTGTTCATTGCCCTTATTCTATGTCATGACTGAGACAGTATTCTAAGCAAAGAAAGTGCTTTATAGTCTGTTTATAGATATACTTATGAAAGAAAATAAAAAAGTAAATTTATTTTGTGGAGTTGTTTCAATTCGCAGCATGGTGCCTATGGGGGCAGGAACTTTTTAGGGGACATTTGTCACCTCATGACGCGAGGCCAGAATTTCAAAATACAGTAGTTCTAAATCAAATGGCATTTAAAGCAAACATATACCAGTTTTACCAGTAAATTATATTTGAGGCCACTGAATGCCCCAAATCCTTCTGATTTTCTGACGCTGTCTTCAGTGACAGAATCAAAACAAAAACAAATGCTTGCAATGCATGCCGTTTGACAGAGAGTTTTTAACCATAATTATAATAATAAATTCAGCAAAGTTGCTTTTCAAGTAGCTCTGGCCTAAAAACAGAGGCAAGGTTTATTTTGGATGTGTGATTGGAGACTTGTAAAATAACTCTAAGTTCAGGCTTGATTACCATTCTCTGTTCACAGAAGGAGCCCACCCCACACTCAGATATGACTTTGACAAATGAACATTTGTGAAAGGTGCTTACAAGCAATGTACAAGCTATTTATTGTTACATATTCTACGTGTAACTGTAACATACAGATTACAGGTTTGGAGTGTAAAAGTGCACATGCAGTATATTTTTATAGCCCTTTTCATGGTTATTTTTTTTTCTTATTTGCTCGGTAATGCAATCCAATGCGAATGGGAGGCAATCTAGGGTAACTAACTTTTGTAGTTCTGCCCACAATTCCCCTGCATCCATGAAACATAATAAAAAAGAAAAGTTAACCATGAAATAGGCTACAATATGAGGTCTATAAATTTTCTCAATTCCACTGCAGGTGGCTGTTCCAGTGAAAATACCTTCAAGTCAGATGTGCAGTCTGTATTATTAAGCATCATTCATGAACTGTTGGTTAAAAGGAAGTTTGAGCTCCTGGTGCCCACAGTTCATGTTTGGTCCATTGATGTGGTGGATGTGGTAATTTTTGAGTTGGGGGACAAAAAGGTAACAAAAAATGCCAGGTCTTTTATCTCTCCAGCTGAATATTGTTGATCTGAAATTTAAAAAAGGTAGCCTAAGTCTTCAGTTATAGAAACACAAGTCATGTACTTGTGGCTTTTGTTAAAGTTAAATTTGTACCCTAAGTATTGTGATTGTTTTTCATTTTTCTGATTATCCCAGCATCATTTCCCTACTACTAGAAGCTAAAACACTTGGGGCCAAATCATTCACTCGCCAGCCTCACTTTGGCCAGTCAAGCCTGTTCCTTAGCCTTACATTCCAACTGCCTTTTTACATTAAAGTAGTTACCTCTTTTCATCAAGGTGCAGCACTGACCCATAACATGGAAATGGGAGAATTGTTCTCTTGTTTCAGGTGCCACTAGAGAGTATGGATATTTTAAGAGTGAAAAGACAAATGTGTTCCAAACAATTCTGAAAATTTAGTGTAGAGTTTCTGTGCCTCTACTGCCTCTACTGCCTCCATGTAGCACTGTAAGTACTGTGCTGTCCTGCGCTACTCTACTCCTAATCTGCTCTACTCTACTCTATGCTACAGTACAGTGTAATCTTTTCTACTCCACTCTACTATACTCTACTCCACTCCTAATCTTCTCTACTCCTAATCTTTTCTACTCCTAATCTTCTCTACTCCTAATCTTCTCTACCCTACTCTACTGTACTATATTCTACTCTACCTTACCCTACCCACTCCACTCCACTCCACTCCACTCAGCTCCACTCCACTCCACTCCACTCCACTCCACTCCACTCCACTCCACTCCACTCCACTCCACTCCACTCA